GGAAGGGACTCAGGAAACCCCTTGCATGGGGACTTGTATAAATTGTGGAGCTGAAATAAAAGACCTCAGTTGACTCTCAGAACTGTGTTTCGTCCGGTTACTATGAGATTTGGGATATTGCCTTGTTGTTTCCAGCGCTTGACTGTGGATTACTTCCTGAACCAGCGGAATTCGTGGATTTAATATTGGCGTTCCGCTACAGGGCTCCCAGAGCCCAGAGTGCTACCACAACCACTTAGACATCTACAGGGCTTCCAGTGCCTGGACTGCCACCACAGCCACTTTCACATCTATTGGGCTCCTGCCTCCCAGTGCCTGGACTGCCACCACAACCACTTACACATCTATAGGGCTCCCGCCTTCCAGTGTCAGGACTGCCACCACAACTACTTACACATCTATAGGGCTCCCAGTGCTAGGAATTATCTTATTGGTCAAGATGCCTTTCATCATTCATGTAATTTTCCCTCCCTCTCTTTGCCATTTTTCAAAATTTCGAAGCACTTCGACATTTCGGCACTTCGGAACTTTGGCAATTCGAAACGTCTGCAATTCGGAACTTCGGCAATTTAGCTCGGTTCGGCACTTCAGAACTACCGAACTTCGGCACTTCGGACATTCGTAAGCATCCAAATGTCCGAATTGCACGAAATTCATCTGAATGTATATTCGGAATGAAATGAATTGCACATCTCTAGTATCTTCAAAGAAATTATGATTTTATAAAAGAAATAGACAGTATTGTATTTATTACCTTTACATCCTCATTAGGGAACAGATGATAATTAGTGTTATTGTTTTGAACCCGAAGGTATGAAATATCATAATTTCAAAACTATTTGAAAAGTTTTTACTTGTTAGCTTTGTATTTGAAAATCTATTATAAAATATAGGCATTTTGTAAAATTAATAAAGACTACATTTACATTAATCATGCAATAAAACACAAGAAGGAGAAAGATGCCTTTTGTGCTGCAACTCAATGACAATTCACAAATCACTACCATATCATAAGTAATACAAGCAATTTTTCATGATAACCTGTCCCAGACACAATTTTGTTATTATGATGGCAGAAAAACAGTTTGTGAACAAATGGAATATTTTGGGAGTGGACAGGTATGACTTATGTCAACATTTCGCTCTCTTAAACAAATATGCCACCGCCCAGAAAACAAAAAAACTATTCATACAAGTTCAAAAAAACACAAACATGCTTTCATAAATTTTGCATATAGCCAATATAAGGGGAATGGAATTTTAAGCAATGTTACTAGAAATAAATAAATAAATAAATATGTGTGTGTGTGTTAGAATCAAAGATGTACATAATTGTTATTATTTACCATTTACAGTTTACACAATTATTGATAAGGTTGTTTTTTTTTTATGTTATAAAAACACAATAATAAAGATGTAGTTTAAAATGTTTTGAGCCTGCTTTTTTTTTCGTTTTAATTGTTATGTTTTAAATAATTTCTTGGTTGGCACAGAAATACCCGTTCTATAATATATTTATATATGCAAGAATTCTTGAATTTTCATTGCTCTTGCCCTTCAAAGACTTTGTGAAAATTATTCTCTTCGACACGTGTTATATTTAGTTCCAATGTTAACCTGTAGAACAGGGCACACCTATGCTTTTGGTTTATTTCATGCCAATGATGTTGCAATACAGGCAAATGTTATAAAAGTATCTATTACCTACAAAGACAAACATAATGTTTAATGCTAACATGATCCATAATTTTTCAGAAGAATATATACATGAAAATGTGTACATACTCTTAGTCACCAATCATTGAGTTATATAGGAAGTATAAAAAAATAATATTACTTAGTTCTCATGTTGTGGTTAAGTTAATATTTTGAATGTTTTGACCCAGTAATGTTTCTCACCAGGAACAGGTGAAATTGTCTCTAAGCCGATTCGGTTGCTGGATGTAGAATTTTTTTTTAAAAAAACAACAAAATGTGATTAGACAACATAATGCACTTAATATTTAAATTCATAAAATATCAATTTTATTATATAACAAATCTACATTAGATTTTCTTGGTTGCTACAATAAAAAAGAAGCAGTAAAGTTCATAGAGGTGGTGCATGTTGTCATGTTGTTCTACACTAATTTGCACTTCAGCATTGTTGTTACGAGTTCTGTGAGAGCAACAATATACATGGTATTATGAGTGACTGACAATTAATACGTCTAACCCATTCATTTTATGAATGAATGAATGAAAGACAACAATGCAAAAAGGTTGCGTCTGTAAGTAATAAATATATAGGTAAATAAATAAATATATAAAGTAACTTAACAAGAGTCCAAGTAAGGCAGTTCAAAAGAGTGGGGAAGGTTCTTTATGGAGCAGGAGATTTAATTATAGTGGTGTCACAGAGTAAAACTTGAGATCCAGTAGGACATGTGGAGAGAAAGCAAAAGGGAAACTCCAATGGTATGGTATGTATATACAATGTATTCCGAAAGATATATAAATGAGATACTACTCACATTACCCAGAGCTAAAATCCAGTACGACCCTATCTACCTCTGTGAATTGTAACTTCGCTTCCACTTGGCCGATGGATAGTTACAGAAGTAGTTCAGTGGAACGTGTCTGCTAGTCAGTGGGGGCACTGGCTAGGAAGTGGGTCTCTTGGAGAAAAGAGATGTGGTTTCTATGTAGGTCACGCAGTAAGTGGGATCTGCCTTCTGGTATGTTGAGATCCCTGCAGTTTTGCATGATAACTGCGAGGGAACTAAGTTTATATGCCATTGTCACGTGGTTAACCCTGTATCTTGTGGTTAAGGAGCTATGAGCGCAGAGCACTAGGCGGGTATGCCGGCCGAGAGCAAAGGAGAACGAGGCTGGCCAAAGGCTGAAGCAAACAGTTGGGGCCAACTGGCCATTGCCCACACTATAATCGATCAGAAGGCAGCCAGGGAAGCCATGGGCAAAAGCTCCAGTCATCAGAGGCGCCAAGCAGGGCAGACCTGCAAGCCCAGAGGGAGAGCCAATAGTTTAGGGCAGGAAAGGAGGAAGGAAAAAGGTAGACGAGAGTAGCCCAGGAGAAGTGTAGGAGAAAAGGGCAAGTGAGCACAGAGGGGGAGCACAACATGAGGTCTAGTTTCTCAGGTTACCCGAGAGGGCACCTCAAGAGAGATCAAGAAACCTCTCACTCGATAGAGGTTAGTTGTGTGACTGCGGTGGCAGCTTACGTCCAACCACACCAGGCAAAACCCTATAGGGATGGTACGTCAGTTCCCTGCAGGGACTGAATCACACGATTCTAATTGGGGAGCACGGCCGATCCTCACCAGATACGGTGAACCTGTGTTGTTGAATTAGTGGTGTGAATATCAACTATAAGTAATATATCTGAAGGTAGGATGTGACTCCAATCAGCCACCGTACAGTAGCTAAAGTGTATCATTAAGCTATCATAGACGTGTAGAGTCATGCTTGGAATGTTCTATGGGTGTGATTTATCTGTATTGAGAATAGGCAACAGAATTAACTTATCCAGGGCTTAATGTATGTAAGCGGGTAACAGTTTAAGCATAGCTGAATACAAGGCATAGAAATTAGAGCCATTAACTTAAAACCTAAAGTCCGGCACAATGTAGTAGGCATCCGTCTAAAGTAGGCAACCTTAAGCCCCCCTCTCCTCCTCAGTAGCACAGTATCCTGACTCGGGGGATGGTGAAATACCCTGCTCACCATCCCCGAATATGTGGCCTAGGTTTATGGTGGAGAACCTATTGGGTTTGTCCCGCAGGGTAACTAGTGTAAGGTCCAGGGATTCCTGCTGCACATACACATTGAGACATACACCATATCTTTACAGAGGTATTGATTGTTTGTTATTATCATTGCATGTTTTGCACTTGTCTTATTTTCGGTTTTGTGATTATTTATTTTATTTATTTACTTTATTTATATATATATATATATATATATATATATATTATGTCTTGCTATTCATTATAGGGAAAATCCTAATGTATACTACAGTTCCCACTTCCCTGCTCTACCGGCCCACTCTTCGAAGTAGGTGAATGAAGAAGTTAGCCTGTGTCCCAGTGGAAACCGCCCCCCAACTCTGGTGACCTAAGCCCAACAATAAAGCCTGGATGGCCCAATGTTCCCTGTACATCCCAACACATGTTCAGCCGTATTCCCAATCCCTGCGATATTAGGCATTTAGCTATTTAGCAATCAGCAATCATCAGTCCAACCTTTTAGCTAGCATCAGTTCTGATGACCTCTACTGTGGCATCTTCCTGTAGAGTGAGCAGAATGTGTAGAGTAGAGGTAGTGGGAAGATGACCTCATCCAGCAGGTTGGATTCGAAAGTGGGTTCCATACCCCACCCAAGATGTGAGGACCAAACACCTATCAGAGGCATTTCCTACCAAGTGTAAGCCACAGATGTATGGCTTTTGTGGGAGGTAGGGTCAAACTATCCCATATCCCGTTGGGAGCTTTCCTCAGGGTAGGCAGCCGTAATTCCAGAATGGGCAAGATGTGGAGGATCTAAGAACAGTGAGGTGGGGGAGAAATTCCTGCAAAGCAGTAGAGCGGGGGAGTCCAGCCAGTGTCCAGGTGAGTCCTCGGGGCATGCAGGTGAGAGAGACTCAAGCAGACCAGGAACCAGGCCTTACCGTCTACCTTTTCCCACAGTTACTTGTCTGGTGACTCCAGGTCAGAATGTCTCCAGGAAGGGGGGCCTCCTTGGGATCCGCCATAGGATCTAGTCGGAAACATCCTTTGGGCGTAGTTCCAGGTGCTGCAGGAAGCATGGGATCTCTTCAGGCCACCGGGCTGGTATCCATTCATTGTAGAATCGTGTAGGCAGAAAGGGAATCCCCACTTGTAAGGGATATTCCTCTCTCGGAGGGCTAGTGTAACAGCCTCTGTGCTCTGTGGGCCTCCAGTGTCAGCGGTGAGAGATTGTTGTATATAGAGACCGCAATATCTCGAAAGTGCCAGGTGGATCAGGATCTAGCTTTCTGCATGATCCTCTCCTTCATTCGGTATGAGTGGAGGCAGCATATCAGATCTCTCGGGGCCCCATCCTGCATGTGTTGCCGGATGGCCCGATGTGCCCTGTCAAACCAGATTTCTTCAGGGCCTTCCTCACCAAGTATCATATTGAAAAGTGAGGTGAGGAGGGCCTCAACGTCCTCATCTCCATTGGGCTCAGGGACACCATGCACCTTAACATTAGAGCATCTGCTCCGGTTGTCCAGGTCTTCTGTTTGGCTGCGGATAGCTAGAAGCATAGCTCCCTGATGCGCCAGAGTCATGTCACTGGCCCGCAATTGCGTGGATGAGGTTTGGGAGTGTGCCTCGAGAACCTGGAGGCATCTTGGGCCATTACCGTGCATCTCAGCACTGAGACAGCCATATTAATCATGTCATGGAGGGTGATAGACAGTCTCTGGAGGTCCCGCTTTATAACCATCATAGTACCCCACCCATTGGCCAGTTCTCCCGATATCCGATATTGTGTTGGCTCCTGTATCTGAGGTTGTAGAGGAGGCCAGGGATGGGGACCCCATCTTGGAGGTATGTGCGTCCTGCATGGCTCCCACTGGGTTTTGCTCATAACCATCCATCAGGCCCAGTTGTGTACCAGTTTAGGGACCGCTGAGGGTCTGGGTGGTTCTTGGCATTTGTTGCGACCCATTTGGAGGGTAATATTTGCAGAAGATACGCTGATGATAGCTTGGTGGCGCAGAGTTCGGTTCTCAAGCTGCCATCCTAGTCAGGGTTCAAGCCCACCCCATATATTTTTTTTAAACCAAGTATGCAAACACTTTTTAAACAAATATACAAACTAAAATAAAGCAAGAAAAACTTTGAAAAGTTTGTAATAAACATTTATAAACTTACTATAAACATTGTCAGATTGCATTGTTGGATACAAATCTCAGTTAGGGGAGTTTCTTCAGCCTTCCCTCCCCCTTACCCACCCTTTTCTGTCTCAGACCTGCCCACTAATGACAGAATCAGGGCATTACTGTGCAGCAGCAGGAGAGAGAGACCTGACACCGACATGCCTAATGGACTTTTCCAGGATACCTAGGGATGATTGTCATGTCTAATCATCTAAAGTTATGTGTGAGATTCTATCTATAAACCTACCTATATCCTCTGTCTGTACTCCCACCTCTAATGCTCACCTTCAAGATTTTTCCAGGGCTGCAGCTCCTCTGTGGAACTCCCTTCCCTTCTCCGTAAGACATTCAGCCAGTCTCCACTCATTCAAAAAAAATAATTGAAAACTCACTTCTTCAAGAAAGCATATCAATTAAACTGTTAGCAGATTTTCATCCCCCACCCTCCATGACTCCTCTCCTGCAACTGTCAAAATTACCTACTAAGCCCTCAGTGAATACTTTTCTAACAACCTACTTTGTACCCCTACTTTTACCCTTTGTGTCACTATACCCCACTCTCTCTAGAACAGGGGTTCTCAACCCAGTCGTCAAGGTCCCCCTACCAACCCAGGATTTAGGGATTACCCTGTTGTGTCTAAAGTGGTTGTCCCCCTCCCCCTCCTAAAAACACATTAGACACAGCAGGGTAATCCATAAATCCTGGACAGTTCGGGGGTTCTTGAAGACTGGGTTGAGAACACCTGCTCTAGAATGTAAGCACATTTTGCAGGGCCCTCCACCTCTCTTTTCCTGTACATCCAGTTGTCTGGTTTCAATTACATGTCTGTTAGTCCACCCATTGTACAGCGCTATGGAATCTGATGGCGCTAAATAAATAATAAAATAATAATAATATGACATTGATTTGTTAGATCAGATTCCCCCAGTAGTGGATTTTGAAAGCATAAGAGAGAGGAAGCAGGTAGACATGGGGAAAAAAATCACAATCTACTACCCACATTGCTATCCACATGCACATACTACAACACACACTTCTACACACACACTTACACAAACACACACTGATACATATACACAGAAATTCATACACACATAGTCCTGCACTGACACTGTAAATCCAGCCCTGGTAATGTAAAATTTGTATTCTTTGGCTCCTATTATTGTGATAGTAAAGTGAAAACAGAGTGTAACAGAATTATTTACTAAACACCAGATGGACAAAATCCAGTGAAAATTACCAAATTGTGACCACATTAGCAATTTGCAGATTTACTAAAGCCAAATGTGGTCAGGATTCGGTCAGTCCAATCAATTCTGTAATATTTGTTTGGAGGCGTATGGAAAATCACTAATATGTGCAACTGAACCAATTCAAAGGATTAGCAACAAGCGCATGGCAGCCAAAGATAAACCAAATGCATCCATCAAGATGTATGCTCACAAGTTATCATTAACTTGCTTTTTGCTGTAGCCAACAGGAAAATAGTTTAAAAAAACCAACAAAACATTGGCAGCACCACATTAAGAAAGTAAAAAAAAAAATCCATAAATAAAAATCCTGTGGGGATTAATAAGATGCTTATTGTACTGTACTGAAGGTATTTTAACCTCACATACCATGTGGCAGAGGGGGGCATGTTTAATAAATGTTTAAAATATGTCGATCAGGCCTTTTCTTATTTTGATGAGTGGCATTGGTTAAAATATGTCGATCAGGCCTTTTCTTATTTTGATGAGTGGCATTGGTTATTATGGCTTTTTTTGTGCACCTTTTGGGGGTTGAAAATCAGAAGAATTAGATGAAAGAGGACTTCTGATGGTAAGTATATGTATATATTTTTAAACAGGTTTTAGATTTATCGTTCCCCCTCACTAATATTAGGGTGAGCAGAGTAGTTAGGGACTCTAACTTATATTAGAGGGAGGATAGGTGATTTGGGGACTCCTAGTCCACCTGTGTAGGGGCATACTATTATTTGGAGGGTGGACAGTGGCATGTCAACCCCCCATTTTATAGTTAATTAGGACGACAACCTGCCACCCATGGGTGGTGGTCAGGGAAAGAGTCAACAAGTCCCCACCCATTATTATTATTAGGGCCCCACTCATCGGCCAGGTCCCCCCTATATTATTAATATTAGGCCCCTTGCCTGTTGCCCATGGGGGCAGGGGGATAGTAGGTCAATATCCATTAATATTTAAGGTAATGCATCTCAATGAGGAAAGTTCAGTGTCACCATTCAGAGGGTCGAGACTCTGAATGTCAGAGGGTGGAGGTGCCCCAGGAAACACCTCAAGTATCCGTCTGAGCTGTGGCCACTTGAGGTGTCCCTAGACTGTAATGTAAAGACAGTGTTTAATGTAAAAGGCCTGCAGGGACTGACTATACTTACCAGAACAACTACATTAATCTGTAGTGGTTTTAGTGGCTATAGAGCCCCTTTAATTGTGTTTTTGTTTTGTTTTTGTGCCTGCCCATTTTTGTACAATTTTTAAAATAAAATTCTGCACCTTAACCCTGCGTGCTTTATTTCTCTTCCCCCATTCTAAAACTCTCTTTGTGTGCTGGATCTTGTAGATACATATACCTCCCTTGCTATTTCCCATCCTAACCTGCAGTGTCCTATGACAAAGTTGTACATATCATTAGGAAGCAAAGCAAAGGTTTTTACAGTTACTATTTAAATTATTTATATAGCACCAACATATTCTGCAGTACTGTACAATAGGAAACAAGGCAAACATTTAAACTGAGTATTTAGTGCCAGGAAAACAAAGCTGTTTTCCTGGCACTATAGGTTCCTACAGTGACCCCCTCCCACGGCACTGAAGGGGTTAAAGCCCCTTCAGTCACCTACCAGAATCCATCAACAATGTCCCCCGGCACTGGGTCAGGCTCCGTCCATTCTGGCATTAGGATTTCTCCATAGGAAATAATTAATCAATGCTTTCCTATGGGGATTCCGGTGATGCTGAAAGTCCTCATGCATAGTGTAAGGACGTCCAGCATCATCTAGATGACCAAAAGTCGTCTAAGCACCCGGAAGTCCATCTAATGGCTGTCTTGTAGACAGCCATTAGAGGTGGAGTAAACCCTGAGAGGTAAATATTGAAGTTTCTCAGAAACTGCAATAATTACCAATGTAGGGTTAAGGGACATTGCCCCCAGACCACTTCAATGAGCTGAACACTAGGTGAATAAAGATGGCCGTGCCCAAACAAGCTCACAATCTAAAGTTTTTGCAATTTCTAGTTGAACATTTACGCGTAGAAAGTCCCAGAAATCCCTGTTTGAAGAAGAAATGAGATTGTTTGATTTCTGCCCATTTTCCCTGTACTTTAACACTTGCTGCAGTTGAATATTCCCTCGATTGACTAAGCTACTTCCAGCAGTAAAGTTCAAGGCTAACAATGTGAGATTGCAAAGTATTAAACAAATATTGTTTTTTATATTTTATTATTTCTTCTTGCATATTTTTTTTTTTTTTCAAATTTATATTTTATTGTTTTAATCGAGGTTGTGGGGGTACAGAAAAGAAGGTGGGAGGGTTGGTTAAACAAGTAACACCTCTGTAAGACACTCGTAATTCTTCTGTATGACACAAAACAGTGTGTCACCATTGTGCGAGAGACATCGTTCCAACACAGTAATAATAGTAACAACTAACAATTGTGCACTAGGTAACATCAGTACATTCTTAACAATGAGGCATTAACTTTCATGATACAATATAGTGCTGTTACATGTGCAAGATGTTCCGTTTGTCGTCGCCTGCATTGTAAATCGTCAGTGGCGAAAGGTAGCACTAGTTGTCGTAAAGTTTCGTCTTGTCCTTTCGTTAGGTGCTGGGTGGTAGAGGTCTGGTAGGGGGTCTAGAACCTGAGAGGGGGTCGAAGGGTGTCTGGGGGGGGGGTTATAGGTGGGTGGAATGCGTGGGTGTGCGCGAGCAATACCCGTAAGTCGTTGGTGGTTGTCTTGGTCTGGTGGTAGAACTGCTGTGGCGTAGGGGGCTAGTCCGGGTTGCAGTCCCGGTCAGTGTTTGTGGCAGTGTTTGCTATAGTTGGCGTTCTGTCCTTTATCTGTCCAAACTCTCTTTCCCATTTACCCCAGGTAACGTCAAATTGTGTGATATTCTTAGCAGATGTGGTTGCCATTCTCTCATATATATGGAATTGCCCTATTTTATCTGTCAGCTGTAGCAAAGAAGGGCAGTTTTGGGATTTCCAGTTGAGTGCTAGGAGATTTCTTGAAGCCATGAGAACTAACGATATGATTTGTTTTTGGCCTGGGTTAAGGCCTGTGGGGAGCAGGAGCATTAGGCAAATGGGTGCTGTCAGTTCAAATTTTGGGATGTCTAGTGTGTCTAAGATTGACCTCGTGGCAGTCCAGAGAGGTTTGATGC